AAGCAATAGAATGGGGAAGCTGAGCACTGAGTTGGTGGCTCCAGCCTCCATTCTACTTCAACCAGAGTACCACTAGTTAAAAATCTAACTTAGTTGTGCTGTGTTTCTCTCTTTAAATTCTGGGTTGGAATTAATTTACTAATATTAAATATTGAATTTTCGCATCAATAACCATCTTTTTTGTTGTAGTTATTTTCTTATAGGTTTGTTTTCCTAGTCTACTTTAAAGTCTGGTAGATCTAGAACTGGAGTGTGTGTGTGTGTGTGTGTGTGTGTGTGTGTAGAACTGGAGTGTGTGTGTGTGTGTGTGTGTGTGTGTGTGTGTGTTCGTGTGTACACATATTTCTCAAAGGGTATATATACTTCATAGACATTCAATATTTCTTTTCATTCTAAAAGTGACCTAATAAAAGAAACACTATGACCCAATTTTCATTAGGGTTTAGTGATATTATTGCTCTATGGAAGGACTTATTTTCAGGTATTTGTTTCTGGCAAATTCCCCCCTCCCAAAAATCATATGATTTGCTAAACAAACAAACAAACAAAAAAACCCAAATAAATCTGAAAAAAGTATTTGTTTATGAATACATGCATTAATATTATTTATGGTGAAATAGCAATAAACTAAAATAAAGTAAATGTCAACTAATACATGAATACTTGAGAACATTTTTGATAGTCACCTGTGATTTGAAAGTATATACTTACTAAAAATGAGATTTATAAGGCATCCATGAAAATAAAGGAAAATGCTAAAAATAAGCGCAAAGAAGAAGATACAAAATTAAAACTGCAGTATGATCTTAAACTTAAAGGGATACAAAAGCTTTCTTAATTTAGAAAAGAATGAAGCATGGACTATGGAGTTGGCCACATCCATTGGGACTTGGGGGGAGTTGCCTTTGAGAAAATTTATTACCCTGAGCCAGGTTACTTCACCTCTCTAAGACTTAGTTTTCTCATATAACGTAGGAATAACTATCTAGTTAGATGGCTTTGAAGATGAGGGAAAAAAGTAAAAAATAAGTGGCACACAGTAGTCAAATAGTGATAGTTTTGTTTATTATTTAGTTATTCAATATCTCTGTTGAAACAACTTGCTACAGTCTGAATGGTTGTGTCACCTCAAAATTCATAAGTTAAAACTTCACCCCCAATATTAATAGGTGGGGACTTTAGGAGGTGATTAGGTCATGAGGGTTCCACCCGCATACATATCATTAGTGCTCTTAAAAATATGCCCAAGAGAGCTTCTTTGCCTCTTTCAGAAAGGACAGGAAGAAGGTGCTATCTATGAGGTACAGGCCTCCACTAGACACTGAATCTGCCAGCACCTTGATCTTGGACTTCACAGCCTCCAGAACTGTGAGAAATAGATGTTTGTTTTCTATAAGCCATCCAGTTTGTGGTATTTTGTTACAGCAGCCAGAACAGACTGAGATGCAACTAGAAGAAAAAACATTGAAACGTTTGTTGCCCTAGGAGCTGGGAAAATGGGTGTATTTTTTTTTTTTCTGTTCAATGTTTTTCTACATTTTGTAACTTATCTATAACAAGAAAATACTACTTTATAATATCAAATAAACTTTAAAACATCTGGCATAACTGTTACTAGCATAACCACAGCTTGGACCACAGTTATTAAGCCATGCTCTGCATGCACGAGGAGTAGTGTGTGATGAGAAGGTGAGTGTTTGGGGAGGTCAGATTTGGTAGCCTAGACATCTCACTGACGCTACAACTGGATTCTCTTCAGATTAACCATTTTGCTTTTTAGAGTCATTATTCACTATTTTTATTAGCATTTTTCTTGAAGTAAATTGATATGATACAGAAAAGTATGATGTTAAGGCCATTATGAATTACTGAAATGTGAGAAAATGTATTTGAAAATGTTTCATAAAAAGTAATGTAACTTACATTTTAACAAAAGAAGTCTAGGAAAATGATATAATTGGAGAAACTGTTAGTTTCTTAAATTTAATTTACTTAAGTATATAAATACATAGCACTAATTATTTGTGGGATGCTCTTCTAAGAACTTTTCACATATTAATTCATGCTTAATATGTTTTTATTAAATGGTAATTAAACTCATGTTTACTAGATCCTATGACATAAATACTTTTATTATCTCCAGTTTACAGATGAGAAAACAGGCACAGAGAGGTCAAATAACTATCCAGTAATGTCCAATAACACAAAAATAGTTGAGGATCATGTGTCTAAAACAAAACTATGTTAATGATAAAGGAAACATCATGCAATTAGTAAACCATAGGGTTAGAATTTGAACCCAGGCTGTGCCATTAACTCTGAGCTTGGCTCCCTCATACTATTATATATATGTGTGTGTATATATATAATGTATTTTACATAGATATATAATTTAGATTTAAAATACCCACTATTGCCCCTTCATATTGCATATGTTTATGCTTTGGTTTGTTTCTTTCTAATTCCATATAATAACAACATTAGGAACCAGAAGGATCTAATGTAGAGTTTTAAAAATTCTGCTTAAGTATCCAATAACCAAACTGGAAATTTGTGCTTGAATGCTGACTTGTAAGAAAACTGGTGTTATAATTTTTATTAACTTTGTACTTGGAGGGTTAGGAAATGTCAAACGCTATTTGTAACCTTTATTTCTTTAATTTGTGAAAGATATATTTTAATTTTATAGCACTGAATGTCACATATTTTTAAAACGTTTTTTTCTTTCACAAACCTCATGTTATTATCCATCAGAAAACAGGGAGCTATTTTTATTGTACTTGTGTTAACACTGAGCCTTTATCACCACTTTCATTGTAATTCTATTCTTGGTAATAAAATAGTCGATATGTTCTTGCATCTTTTTTTTCCCCTACTCGTGGAAGTGTTACTTTACTGAAGCAGATAAGCAGGACAGAAAATGATTGTTATATGCTCAGTGATCCTTATAATGGGGAAAACTAGAATGTTCTCTAACAACTCAAAATTGCAAACTTAACTGAATTTCATTTAGGAAATAGCAAGTTCTCTTTATAGGTGACATTCTTTAAATATATATAAAGACTAGAATATCTGCCATGAATCTTGAGGAAAATAGGCTAAATTAGATCCACATAGCAATATCTTTCTTATTTTATGCAAAATGAAGAAATTACATATAAATCATCTTTCGAATTAAGATGTCAAGAATACTCCCCACAACCAAATAAATTACCATGAATGTCTCACTTCTTTTCCATGTGTACAAAAGTGTCAGGAAAGCTTGATAGTATCAGGTTGCTTCCCATTGTATGAATTTGCTAAGTGTCATGCCAATGTAGGCAAATCAGACAGTGCAGTTAGTAAATAAAATACATTGATCCTGTTTTGAGGGAGGGGAATGATGCAATACACAGACCCATTTTACATGGTCCAGTTCATTTCAGTTGCTCTAAACATAAAAATTACAATTTCTGCAAAATACCAAACAATCTGCGGGACAAAAATATAGCTATGTAAATATTTTTGCACTTATAAATATGCAAACCAATCATATGTTGTAAGTGCTTGTCATCCACAGTGTTTGCTTATGACTAGATGCTCCTCCCTGATGAAGGAAGTTTTTATAGAAGAGTACCTTTTTCATTATACTAGTGGCACATTGCTGGTCTGAAGCACAATTTCTTGACATTTAAATTTAGTTAAATTCAATGCATTCACTGAATGCTCATTAAGCTCAAAAATAAATAAATTATATACTTTTTCCTTTTAATGTCCTCATGCTTTGCAGGTTATAGAGTGAAGGAAGTCAAGGGTGGTAGGAAAGGATTAAAGTAATTGCTCACATAGTCCAGGGCATATAGAAACTCTCATGTGGCAAAGAAAGATCAATAATAAAAGAAAACTGAAATTGAGAAATTGAGACTATCTGGGAACAGAACTAGATTCAATCAGACTGTCAGAGAGAGAGCACTGAAAATTTTACAGATGAGGAAATTTTGGTAGAAGAAATAGTATCAAAGGAGAATAAAGGTCAAGTACTTGAAGAGAGACAAAAGATATCTATGGGATACTGTTGACCTCAGAGGTGATTGCTTTTAGTCAGGTCTAGAAGAAGACAGCATAACATAAATTTAAAATAAGGCTTGAAGTGTAGAACATAAGACCAGAAATGCCAATGAGTTAGAAGATATGCTTACTCTATACTGAAAGAAGGCAAAAAAGAGAAAATGTATCCTCTGCAGAAGAAAACTTGTCCATCTGAGAACCATATATCTATAATAAAAATATGTTAACAAAAGGAACAGTATTTACATTAGAATGAAATTTCCCTAAATTATGGCATATATAATGGAGAAGAGGTATAAAAAGATGAGCTGATGTTACACCGAATGGCCATGATGTCTCAGAAAAAAAAGTGTGAGACTTGGGATAAGAACATTTGGAAAGGATTGAGTGGATTTCTCTTATTTCTAAGATCAGAAAACCAAGGCAGAGATTACTATTGAACCAAAATGTGTAATTGACAGGGAGAGGTAGCACATGCTCATGTTCACTTCTCCTAAAACAGAGGAATTCAAGCAAATGGTCCATCCTTTCTCATGTACCACTCCTTCTCCTGATATTCTATCCAGTCACTATTTGGAAAGGGGTGGGGGGATGTGACATAACTGTGTCCTTGGTGTTCTCGTCTAATTTACTGGTCAATCTATTTCAGTAATACATTCCAAATCAGAAGACTTTATACAACTTTGCACAGTGTCTTTTGTTGATGTAATAGTAATGACTAAAACTTAGAAGACTTAGTGTAAAATCTTTCTTTTCTAAGATTTTCCTATTTATTTTTAGTAGAAGAAAATAAAAAGGGAAAGAAAAAAATCCTGAACTAATGGAACCACTTTCACAATATAATATACATAAAATATTAACAAGTTAATTTATAGAAGCTATTGTGTAATTCAAATATAGTATGATTAAGATAAAAATACTTTCTAGGTAGTTAATTTGAAACAAGCACTTACCTTGTGGCTGACGACTGGGATGGTATATCTGAAGGTCAAATGGCTGAGCACTGGTTTTCTGAATCACACTGACATTCTGCCCTGTCCATTTATTGGCTTTGGACAATGTGTTGGTTCTCCAGTCTGTCCAATAGACTTCACTCCCATACAAAGACACAGCAAAGGGATGAGAAAGGTATTCATGACCTCGGATAATTTCTATCATGTTTGTTCCATCATAGAGGGCTGAATAAATAGCATCTGACCTACAGAAGGGTAAATACATCAGTAGTTTATCAAAATTCATTCAAACTGTACAGTGATATAACCATATAACTAACATAAATGACAGAAAATATTTTATAAATATTTTTATGAGCCCATATCTGATTTGTGAAAAGAAAAAAAAAACAACACAAATTTCAATATGTATATATACCATACGGGCAAGTTAAGAGACTTTTCAATTTTGTAAATATTATCGGAGGAAAGTAAAAGAAAATACAGAAAAGAGATCATTTTTTAAACCTGGCATCTGTCCAAACTATCCTTTTTTCGAAGTGGTCCACGGTTAGTCCATTAGGCCAAGCTCCAGTTTTCATGTCTTTATAGATGGTTTTTCTCCCAGCACCACTCATAGAGGCAGACTCGATGCGAGGAAAATTGGCATCCCAGTCTGTCCAGAAAAGAATTCTGAAGAAAAAGAAATAACAGTATTGTTTCAGTGGTTCACCTCACAAATATTCACTGAGTCACTACTATAATCTAGGCACTGGCTAGATGAAAAGTCACAAGAGAAATGTATGTATTATCTCCTCTCATGGGGCTTAGAGTCCAGTGGAGGAAACAGACTAAATAAATGTATAAATATATAATTACAACTTATCAAATATTTTGAAGAAAAAATTTGCTATGAGAGAGAATAGCAGATGAGTGACCTGCTTAGAGAATGTGATCAGTGAGAAGCACTTGGAGGAGGTGATATTTAAACTGAAACTGGAGGATGAGGAGGATAAATGACAAGCAGAATAAACAGCATATACCTTGGAAAATGAAACAACCTTCTGGAACAAAATTCAAATTAAACCTATCCTCTTTCTAAAAATCTGTGTCTACTTAAGTAAATGTGGAACAGTGCAGACTAAGTATTCATCATAACTTCAATTTTTGAGAAGTATATAGTTATATACAGGACACAGGAGTTACAAATATGAAATGACTAGAGGACAATTCAACACATTATATAACACGTCAGGTAAGTACATGTACTAAAAGGGTATGGTGGACAGGGAAGTAAGATGAGAGTGGAACTTCTTGCACAAGTTAAGGCACTGGACATTCAATAAATGTTGTTAAATAATTGTGTGGATGTTGAATAGTGTTAATGTATATGCTTTTGTGTCAAACAAACTTGTGATCAGGTTGGGATCTGTCACTTACACCAGCATCTGTTTTCTCATCTGAAATGAAAACTGTAAGAGTACACATGTGCTGGAAGCATTAGGTGAGATAATGGATGTAAACAACTTAGCTCCGGATGACTAGCACACAGGAAAGATTTGTGTTTGTAAATGCATGCATGCACACATATTCATAGAGAATAAATAATATTTTAAGGCAAATTTTCAAAGTCTTGCCAAACTATTAAAGAAACAGAGAGATGGAGAGAGAGAGAGAATTAATCCAATATCAATTTTTAAACGTTGCAACAGCATGCATATGAAGGTAGTTTATTTTTATAAAGCCATAAGAATATGATTCAGGGCAAAAGACCATAGGACTGGATTCATCTCGTAGAATCTTTCTCGAACAATGGGTTTACAATAATAATTTTAAAATTTAGTTTCATAGACAGCTTTAGCCATAGTGGTGGAAACATATCTGCCAAAACAATATCCAATTTATTTATTGTTTGACAATGAAATATTTGAATAAATTAGGTAAATGCTGGGAAAGTATAAAAATGAACAACAGCAAACCAGAGGACAATGTACCAATAGTTGTTGAAACTGGGTAATGGGTACAAAGGAGTTTATTCTATTATTTGTTCTAGTTTGCGTATTTGAAAATGTCTGTAGTAAAAGTTTAAAGGTGTAGATAATGCAAAACTAAATAAACATAAAAATTGTTTAAATGTGCCAGAAGAAATTTAAACATTTTATTGTTGGGCCTCATTTTTTGAAAAGACTAATGTTTAAAGATAAGATTGTTCACAATAATATGTCGAACTTTTAGGAAGAGAGAAAAGAACCATGTACAAAGTTGGAAAAGGGGAGGGAAGGAGAACAGGGAGGGAGGCTAATGAGGAATTGGTTAACAGACACAAAGAATGATGGTGTATTGTAATGATGAATAAGCTAAGTATCCTGATCTAACCAACACACATTGTACATAACCATTGAAAACCAACATTATACCCCCATATATGTATAATTTATCTAATTTTTTTTAATTAAAAAATTAATTTAAAAAATAAAATAAAATAAAGGTAAGATTGTTTATATGAAAAGGTGTAATTATCTGGAAATACTAGAATAAAATAACTTATAAGCAAAAATAATCCCAAATAATGTAATGTGTTACCAGTTAAACAGAAAATGGAACAAAGTTTAATATGAAGCTGGTAAGCTACTCAATTAAGTAGTTAAACATCTTTTTTGAAAACAATGAATATGAAATATGGTTATGTGTCCTGCTTCAAAATTAATTTTGGATTCACACATCTTTCACTGAAACCAGGTTGTTATTTGTCAGCTTTCCTTTACACTTAGCATCAATAATAATAATAATGATAATAAGATTTTAAGCAAAAAGAACACCAACATAGCATCAATCAAATTTATGGTGATATGGCAACAAACAAGGATAAGTGGAGAGATGTGCAAATT